CTTGAAGAATAATAAGGTACAAGTTGTCATCTGGCTGAGAGAAAGGGAGCTTTGTGGATATTTATAACATGCCTAATGGTATTTCGGAGCCCTGAGGAAAAACAACGTAGTTTCCAATCTTCGGCTGTGTCGGATGTGGCAGGCGGGCAGCGATGCTCCTCTCTGATCAGCAGGGGAGGATGTACGGAGAACGGGATTTTTTCCAAGCTGTTACTTAACTGATAATAGCATTTGAAGGCACAGAAGGCATGACCTTTAATCCTCTGTGTAGACTAACTGATCTGCTTGCTTGAATGCCTCATTGTAATGATGCAGAATGGAAAGGATTGCATCAGACCAGAGAAAGAAATCTTCTGTCCCCAGAACTTGCATATTTAGGTGTGTGGCTGCATGAGTCCATCGCACACGTAACAGCTGCAAACTCGGAGCTTTCAGATGCACTTCCCTGATCTCTCCTCCAACTCCTGCCTGCAACTGCACGTGTCAGTGAGTTACCCTCCAGAGCACAAGCCTTCCTGTGGGAGATGAGAGATGGTCGCCCCGAACTGAGAAAGGATAGCCCTGACTTTCAGTCTTTCCCAAAGTGTAAGTGGTCCTAGCTACAGATGGACTTTTTGCCATTCGCTTCCATAGTCATTCAAACAGTGGTGGTAAATTAGTTTTATGGGGCATTAGTGGAAGAGGTCGGTGGGTTTTATTACATTCATGTGAAAAGTTGGAGCCAAGAATGTAAAATGAAAACTGAAGATGAAGAGTACCAGAAAGCAGAACAGGGTCTGCGAAGCGACCGAGCGTATACATGATAATGTGTAAAGTCCCAAAGAGTCTTCAGTCTAAACTGATAACATACTTCAGAAGAAGTTTTGAAGTCACAGCTATGGTGAGAGGCTCCGAAGAGGTCAACCACACAGCAGGGCTAGCTGAGAAATAATTTAAATAGGCGACACAAATGCACCAAAGCTACGCTGCAATCTGTGATGCCGAATACATGTTACAAGGAAACTTGCTGCTTCTGTCTGGTTCGTGAGATGGACTTGCAGCATCACCCTCGGGAAGAGGACTGAAGTTACGGGATCTGAGACATCGGAAAACCAGCTTGCAACTGCTCCCCTTTGTTGAAGGGAGTGCTTGGTCAGCCTGCAGCCAAGGTGGGGCTGTGTCCTGACACATATTCAAAAGGCTACCGATACAAACACAAAATATTAATGCTATGGTGTTCTCTAGTGGTGATTGACAGCTTCAGACACCAAGATGGCATGCTATTCTGCCAGCAGCGTGTGGAAAGCTGTTCTGATGTAGCCAGCTTGCTTGGCAGCAGAGCCGTGGCTGGCCCGCCGCGCCTGATGACTCAGTTAAGTCCTGGAGTTGTTATTGCAGTGGAAGGAGTCGTTCTGTTCTTTAATTCCTTTGTGCAGCCCATAGATCAGTTGGATGGTATCTTGCCAAGGCCTGTAGTTAGTAGAAATTATAATGCGAAAGGCTTTTGGGGGTGGGTGAGTTGTGACTGTAGATTCAGCGTCAGAGCTCATAGTCCAGAAGGGTTTTCCTTTGCCACGAGAAAGTCTATTGGCACTTCAAAACGTAGTTTACTTGGTTATAACTTGGTGTAGCAGCTGGAGGCACTCCCTCGCTGCTAGCTCACCTGCGTGAGCAGGACGGGGCACACCTTCATCCTTTTTTCCCCTTGGTGATCTATCGTGTGCTTTCATTACCCAAAAGACTAGATTCCCAGAGCTCTGGTCTTCACATTTCTGTTGCACACTCGAGCTGGGAGCCTGTGGCTTCATCCTTCTCGCTCATCTTCCCTCTGTCAGCCTACCACTCATGGGTTTGTCTTGCTTAGGTGCGGGCAGGGTTCACGTGCTGCTGTTTGGGAAACCAAGGTCTAAACAGGAACAACAGTGGGTTTACTTTGCATCTGGTTAGGTTTTTGGTTGAACACTATGATAAATATGAGTCAAAGTTGTGCCAAAAATCTACCTGGGGGGTTAGTGTCAAGGAGATGGACAAATACGTAACTTGCGAGAGAGTCTTTTGTTCTCCAGGAGTTTGCACAAATGCACTTTTGCTTCGCAGAGCTTGTGGTCATTTCCCTTAATTATGCGTTTGCCTGAGTAGAGTTTTGGGCAATTTCAAGACACACAGCGTTGCTTATCACTGTTGGAAACCGAGCTTTGTTAGGAGAGGTAACACTGTGGAGCCTGATTCTGAACTTCAGCTTCTTCCTTGAATTACCTCACCTGAAAATAAAGGAGCAAAGGTGCATTTCTGTATTATTCAGAGCAGTAGGAGCCATGCAGTCTTCTTTTTTTCATGCTTAAAGGTATCAGATTGCCTGTTTCAAGCATTCTTCTAAACGATCGCAAAAATCCTACTGCAACATGAGGTTGAACTCGGTACTGAAAGCCGTCTTTCAAGTTAATTCTCCCACTTGAGGAGCTGACACATTCCTTTCAATGCGGAGGCAAAGTTGCTGTTATATATGGGAAAAGACCGTGAAGGTTGCAGCTTTTTTAATAATTAGGTGGGATTTGGCATCTGCAGGGTCTGCGAGGAGTGAAGCGGTTGGAGGGGTTGGGTACTCACTGTGTAACGCTTGTGTATGGACTTGCACTCCCTTGCAGCTGGGAAGGCGCTGGGTGTGCGAGGATTCGCTGGCATCTAGTGGTGAAGCTGGATAAAAGCTGCCAGAACCGCTTGTTCTTAGCTCTGGGCAAGCACTGGGTTGGTAGGTGTGCGAAAAGGCAGCCGATGTCACCAAATGCTTTGGGTTTGAACCTGCAGTGGACTCCTGAAATAGTTGGAGGAGGTCCTGGACTCCTGCGCAGCAAGCCCTCGGGTTTTTGAGGGGCTGGTTTAGACGCCTGAGAGATAGTCCAGGGACTGCAGGAATCTACAGCGCCCTCATCGAGAATGGCTGATTTTTAGACCAATGCAAGTAAAGTTGCGTAAAACTAGAGTGCAAGGTGAAAATGAGATTTAATGTTACAAAGCAAGCAGAACTTAGTCTCAGAATTTTAGAAAGAGATGACTTGAAACTGTTTTTGAAATTTATATAAATGGTACTACCCGTGGCTCGATCGCATACATCCTTTTTTCTGTTATTCATATAGCATTTCTGTCTGCTGTAAGAAGATTTTATCAGTTGGCTGCGTACTTGAATTCCTAGGGTGCCCTTCTTTGCACCCCGTCTTCTCGTAGCGCTGGCAGCGTAGCTTGCTGCTCCATGGCTTGCTCTGCTGTTGAGCGTGGCCGCTTGGCAGTGAAGTCTGTCTGTCTGCTGCGCTGCTTCGTGTTCTTTCCTTTCCCAGTCTTGGAGGACACTGCTGAGTAGTGAAAGGCACAAGGTGATCTGTAGCTCCAGCCTGAGAGACTTAAGGGAATTGATTTTTTTTTTTATTTTTTTTTTTTTTAATAGATTTTGAAAGATCAGCACTGGGAGCCAAACGAGTTGGATTTTGTGTTGTTTGGGGGGTTTTTTTTGTTGGATTTTTTAGGGTATTTTTGTTTGAGTTTTTGTCACTGTAGTGTCTGTGGCTTAATGAAAATGCTCAAAGGCTCCTATCTGTCACAATTTAATCAAATAGCTTCCTTATTAAAGATGCTAGTAAGCCCTTCTCAGTCAAATGCCCATCCCTTTGAATTTTTCCCTCCCTTCTTCAAGCCTGCCTTCCTTGAACCTCATCTTCCTTCCTATGTCTCTCTCTCCTTAGTCTCAAATAATCTCGTTTATTAAGATTTAGGGTACATTCAGGGCCCTACCCTTTTTAACCACAGTTTTGAGAGGGGAGTGGAGGGAAGATTAAGTTTTCGTGAGAGCTCTTGGTCTTACGTTTCAGTCTTTGTCAAAGACCTTTATATTCGTCTCAGGTATTGCCATTTTTGTAAGTCATGCTGTAGATAAGTAAGTATTCATGGTGTACCTTATGTAGCATTCCACATGGGTGCCTTCCGGGATTAGCATTTTGTCTTTTAGTATGCTGAAACAGGCACTGCTAAGTACAGGTTGCAGTTTTGGTTCGCATCTAGCTGCAGAACCACAAAAGCAAAGGAGGTGGTTAATGACACATGCTAACGATTCTGGTGTCGCGGTTTTCTGTTCGCAGATGTGAAGGGACCACCTACACACCGCCTGTCCTGCGGCCAGTCCCCCTACACCGAGACGACAACATGGGAGAGGAAATACTGCATCCTGACAGACAGCCAGCTGGTGCTGCTCAACAGGGAGAAAGAGGTGAGAGCAGCTCATGTTGGCCGCTCGGGGTGTACCTTTGGGCCTTTATTGGTAAAACGAGAAGGCAGCTTTTCTCATCTCCCCTTTATTTTGTCTGTGGGGTGTGTGTATATCTAGCATGTAGTACTTGATATTGTGCCTTGCCATGAAGGCATGGTCAATATGGCTAAGAATAGGCTTGTTTGAGTTGATTGAAACACTGAACAAACAAATGCTGATAATTCACTTCTAGACTATGCCATGATACGTTTTTTTTCTTGTGATACTTGGTGTCTACAGACTGTCACAAACGCACAAGCTTTAGAAGCATTTGATAATGCTCCTGGGTTGGTTTGTTTAGTTATTCTGCTGTAGATTTGCCCTGTTTAAAAATAAATATTTCAGAAGGAGCTATAAAGTAGGAATATTTTCAGGTTGTTGAAATAGGTTTTGTTACATACAAATGCCCAAGAATTTGAGTCTAATAACATGGTCTCCTATATTTAGAGATGACCTGATTTTTTGTGGTTTTTCTTGATCCTTTTGAAGCTTCAGTGTATGGCTGAGACTAAGACCTGTTTCTCGTGTAGCACTAAATGTTACTCATCTTCAGCTGTGATCAGGTTTATTGACAAGGGCTGAAATATTTTCTTACGTAGGGAGAGTAGGAGGAAATGGTTTAGAGAAGGACTTGAGTTATTAGAAGGGAACAACATCAATGCTAATACGTAGGAGAGGTGATGAAACACAGGGAAAATGGAAGGCCCATATCATGATGTTTGTTTGCTGTGTGATTCTTTTTCTAGTCTGACAGGACTGTCACCTAAGGAATTAAAATATACACTAAAGTAACTTAAGGACATGTGAGAATTATCCCTAAAACTGTACTGTACCAGCACAGCTGGGCTGAAGAGATGCATCTCATTAAGGAAATGTAATTGAAAACAATGCTGGCTCGTATCACAAATAATTATCTGAAGGTGGTAATCATGCATTATGGGTTCTTAATATCTCCTACCACATACAGTTAAAAGCATTTTGCTGGGAGTAAGATGAATCTTTTGCTTAGATCCTGAGGAGTAAATATGGGAAGTCCGATGTATCACTGGTGTTTTAAGTCATTATATGCTATGTTTAAATACAGTCTGTTTTTTGTCAGAAGCTGGAGAAATTCAGTATGAAGCTCTACAGAGACTGGGTTTCAAGTACAGCAGTAACCCCAAAAAATCAAGCAGTTGAGTAAGTCTTTGCAGCGTGCTCTCAAAGGAGCCTGCCTGCACTATCACGATGAGAAATAGGTTGTGTTGGAAAACGCGGCATGCAGATGGGCCAAGCAGACATGCCTTTGGTGCAGTTGTGACTCCGCATGCTGGGGATGTGATTTGTTTCAGAAGCTAGTAGCTGGAGTCAGATTTGCCATTTTGATTTTCAAGTCATTGGGGACTACTGTTAAGTGAAAGGAAAAAGGGAACTCCTTGCAGAGTCATGAGTACCCTGTAGGAAAATAAAAGGTTGTTTTAATCTGGCTTCTGAGTCTGTATACATGGCAGTGTACATACGAGCCCTTAAACACAAAACATACAGAAGTGGAACTTCTAGTTAAGAGAGAGACGTGGAGCTGATACTCTGGATTTGCAGCTGCTTCTAATTTTTTCTGAAGTAGAAGCATCCCTTGTAGCTTTCATGAGAAAGGCAAGGGGAGGCGACTCTGTAATTTTTACTTGGTAAAGTCATTTAGAGCTGAAAGAGGCTCTATGAAATGTGCTCTCAAAGTAAGGGTGAGCAAAGGCCTAAGGCAGCAATGGGGAGAGATGCTTGGGAAGAGCAGAATGACTGAGAAGTGTGTAAGAGGGGAACTGAAAAAAGCCCATGGGTGGGACCGCAGGTACAGGGAGCCTGAGCAAAAGACCAGGTGAATGAGGAAGAGGGAGGTTACTTAAAGAAGAAAACTGAAGATTATATTTAGAGCAAAATTATAGGACAGGTGATGCTGGAGGAGGTTTTCTGTTAATCCGAAACGAGGTGATAGGCAACAGGAACTGAAGATGGAGAGGTTCCTGCTCTGAACATGGGAATTGCCAATAGAGTGGCTAGGTCAGAATTTCTCTGGACTGCTGAAAAGGATCTTGGAAGCAATGTGAGGGAAAGAACGATAGGCATCAGTGAGGGGTAGGTGTGGGGGAAGAAGGAAGAGATGTTAACAGCAGAGTGCCCTTGCAGCTGAAAGGGAGCACTTGCATCATCGCAAGGCTGGTGCAGTTTGAAAGCTGTGAGTCTGAAGCATCTCATTTTATTCTCTATGCATCTGCTTTGTTGCTTCATGGAGTAAAAATCCAAGAAGCTTAGCCTGTGTGAAATTGAAAGGGAACCGAAATGTTTGATGTTTATAATACTTCATAAAACCATTATGCAAGTATGTATGTCAAAGCCAAAAAACAGGAAAACATATACAAAATGCAAACAGGTAAATGAAATAGGTCTTAATTGTTTCGAGTATAATGCTGAGTTTAGTTTCTTTCAGTTAATGCTGTTAAATACAGCGTTGTGAATAGCACAGATTTTTAAGATTGAGGGAACAGGACAGAAATAAAGAGTGGTAAGAAAACCCTTTTGTTGTAACATCCCACCAATATGGATTTATTGTCAAGGCAGCTTGGGTAGAGTAGGTGCAAGAAGATTTTGCGCTGTGCAAGCACAAGAGTAGGCTGGAAATCGGAGAAATGTTGAGGTACAACTTGATCCAAAAATATCTGTAACTACTTAGACAAAAATAGTCTGATGGTACCACCTTGTGCAGTGTAGAAAAATATTAATGACTTGACACCTTGTCGACTTTATAAAATGAAAATAGGCAAGACTGAAGAATGAAGATTATTCATGCAGGGGAGAGATTGATGCCCAAAAAGTAAGTAGAAAGAAAATTAATCCCTGCAGAGACGTGAGAGATGACTTGGCAAATAAGGAGTCATGAGTGACAGAAGATGTGCAATTACTACAACATATCGTGGTGTGGTAATATCTAGCAGCATCTGCCGAGACTAGGAGAACAGGTCTAGATTGGTTCACTTACAAATCAGGTGTTTTTTCTACAAGGAGGACAGTTTCCCACTGTTACGAAGGTGTGGGTATCGTTTGTGAAACTTGTTCCATAAGGTAAGAGCTGTGAAGGCACAGTAAAAGGGTCTGCAAAATCAGTGCCGTTTAAACAGGGAAGGGGAAGGAGTCAGACGGATAATCCATTGCACAGCACTTTCGTGAGGGATGTGACAAATGGCTGCATCTGGTTTGGGGCTGCTTTTTAGTTCGTCTTTGTCTGTAACTTGGCTGCTGTCCTGCAGAATCTTTTAATTTTGTGTTCAGTTGGAAGTGAAGATGAACAACACTTTTCACTGCGTTAGACTCTTCCATTTTCCTCCCTGTGCCCGAAACCTCATCGTTCTTCTTGGATTTAGAGGTGTCTTTAATCAAGGGCAAAGGATAGTAAAGACCTGCATCCACTGTGACAAGATCTGCTGCTTATTGCTGCTGGTGACAGAGGCCAGCAGCAGGACATCTCTGATGTATTTTCCTACTCTTCCATCTCCTGTGACTGACAGCAGTAGCGGAGCGACAGCGGTGATCCCAAGAGAAAATAGCAAGAGCAAACACTGATGCATGGGGCCCTAGGGAAGCTTCCTCAGAATTACCTGCTGCTATTCTCAAAAGACTTGTCATGTTGGTGTCTGACAGCAAATATGTTTCACCTGTAAAAGGGAGTTTGTCAGAGCTGAACCCAGTCATAAGAAAAGATTTTCTTCAGTTCCCAAATGAATTTAATTATGTATTTTCCAAAAGCCCAAAGAAATGTTTGTCATCAGCATTTTTAAAGTGGATTTCTATGTTAAAATTTTAGCCAGCTTACAACTGCTGGAGGAAGGCAAAAATTGAAATGAATTTCGTTGACATGATTCCAAACTTCCTGACTGTTAGTTCAGAAGCGGTTGCAATTTCTCAAGTTTGTGTCTTGAATCAGTCTTTCCAATCTTGAAAAATCGATCTGCAGTGAGGAAACGTTTTTTCCTACTTTTTTTTTTTTTAAAGACCCTAGCTCAGTTTGCCTTTAAGAGCCATTAAATGCTTATAAAGCGCTTGCTCCTATGTATTCTGAAACCTCTTCATCATCAAACTGCTAGAAATCTCAAATATAGGCTTTTTATACTTAAGAAGCATGTTCGTTGGCAGGTGAGCTGTGATGTTGTTCATGAGTTCAGAGTCCGACTTCTGAACCCCATCATTGTTAAATTGTAAAATCTGCAAGTGAAACGTGACCTATGATCCAAATTGTCAAGATTTCCAAAATAGCATTTGGACTGGCCCTACATACCTTCTTGTCCCAGAGTGACACTGCTCGGAGTCCAGCCCGGAACCAGCAGCTTCGGCGCGTTGGCTTGGGGTCAGACCATTCCCAGGTTGAAGTCTCGGCAGGGCAAAGACCAGGGTAACAGAGCTGCAGGAGGGCTGGGGAGATTGCAGCTCTCGGGCTTGGGGTTCACATGGGTTTTAGTTGTGTGCTTCCTTGTGTTTTTGGTGCCACCCCACCACTGAATCCATTTGACCAACCGTGGATAGACCCATTTGAAAACATGGCCAGCCCGGAGAGATGCAGAGCTGCTGACTGAGAGCATTTCACCTCTTCATGGAGCTGTATTTTGAAGAGCAGGCTGATGTTATGTTAAAGCCTAGATACTGGTCCCACAGTCTTGGAGTTAGCTCTTTTTTGTCAGTATAGACTGAGACTATGGTTTTGGAGGAGAGTTACTTAAAAGAACACAGCACTTTTAAGTCAAACATACGGAGGGACCTTTTTTAGCTACTTTGCTGTTTTAATTTTGTCTGTGAAATTAGGGGATATTTGTATATTCTCTGGTGAAGATTAAGCTGTGTAGCATTAAAATGTGCCTTGTACAGTTTATAGAATCATTGAGTGAAAGAAGCAGTATCAGGTTTTTCTCAAGCCACTGTAAATACACTAACAAAAGCAG